TTTCATTTGGAGTACCCATAAATTGGGTAATTGAGTATCTGAACATGACTTTTATAAGATCTATTGAAAGGTAATTAAATTTGTGTGCAAACTAAAAAAAAAAAAATTATAAATTCATCTTCCAGTTGAACTCACATAAACATAATTGTGTAAGAATGACTTAAAATCTTAGTACTAATTCAAAATATTGTCAAAGATAAAATATTTTCCGTGTAATAATCTTTTATATTTCTTAAAAATAAGGAAACAAGGCAATATGATTTTGCTTAAGCCAAGTTTTAACTTTAGGTTAAAACAAATTTACCTAGAATTAAGTAGCAAATCCATTCCAATTAACAAACTAGTAATCACTCTAAAGTCAAAAACAACATATAGAGAATACCAATATACACACAACCTTCTCACCAAAAAAAATAAGAAATAAGAAAATTATGAACTGGTGATATTTGCCTTTAAACAAAATGTATATTTCAAAATCAAACAGTTCAGAATCAGAGATTATTTGCATTTATTTCTAAAAATCTTAAATAAATGGTATTGATTTTAAAGATTATGAAATGTTTTTAAAACTCAAATTTTGAGCAAAATTCACTCAATACTCAATTATAAATAAACTATTTGGAAAAATTATTATATGATACTTAGTGTAAGGTTGTTTTATCCCATTAGCTTAAAGATTATTAAAGTATAATTTATCTCCCTTTAAGTAACTTTTTAGATTTTGTTTAAATCTGAATTAGATGAAATTTTTTTTTATGTTTCCTATACTTATTTTTGTAAATAGTGTAATCTGTATTACTTGATTTAAAATTTGAGGCAATATAAGTGTAAAGATGGTTCCGTAACTAAGTTACATTATGTTTAAAAATATTACTGTCTTTCATGCTGGCCTTCAGAAGCTTGCCATGGATACTGCTGAGAAAGTCAATTGGCAAAGCTGATGCCAGAGGGAAGAAAAAGTAAATTATTGCTGTCTTCCTTTAATTGGTTCTTGTAATATTCAGATTATTTAGAACCATGCAGACCAAAGATTTTGTTCTAATTAAACTTTTTGTTCAATTTTTTGATGCATACTTCCAATAAACTCTCAATGTCAGCAACATTACAAGTAATTTGTGATTAAATTGAATGTATTTTCTGAAATCCCTACTTAATCTTATTATCTTTAGACCATTCATACTTAACACTCTATGCTTCTAAGAAAATGATTGTACCTAAGAACGCTTTGTAAAAAATGACTGCATAAAGGTGACAGTAAACCAAAAGTTATAATAACATAACTATTTATATGTGTATGTTTTTGTAGAGATTCATATAAATAAATTCAATCTATAATTGGGCCCAGGAAATGAATTGTGTTAAAGAGAGAAGAAAAAAATATTTCAGAAGATTTTGATTCTTTATAAATTTTCTCATGTATATTAGCAAATGTTTTTATATACTAGCTGCTTTTCTTAATGTCCCCAAATGCAAATTAGAACATCTGCTTAGGCAACAGGTGCTATTTTAAAGACCGCTGGATTAAATTGCAGATATACAGAAAAAAATGTATAGGAAATGAGGTTCTCAGACCATAACCATGAGTTGTATACTTAGGTGCTATTATAAAATTATAGATATTTTAATCTTTATAAAACTAAAATGACATTAAAATTGTATACTTAAGGAGCATGTTACTTATATTTTCTATAGCTTTTAAATTTGACATGAATAATTGTTTTCAAAATTAAAACAAACAGTATTTCACTTTTGAAATCCACATGTAAATCACAGCCTGATTATTAGTTAAAAAAATAATTACATGAATTATTAAACAGTAAAAAAAAGGAAGGAGAAAATTCTCTGGTATATAATTGAACTTTATGTATGCATGTTAAAGTACCTTATACAGTAATGCTACAGATTAACTGCAAAATATGAAGGTGAATTCCTAATTTTAGAATGTATTACTTTATATTTCTATGTAATTTACTTTTTTATATTTTATATTTCACAGATGGGTCAGATCATACAATATTGATATTTCTGTGTCTGGCTATTTCACTTAGTGTTCTCCAGGTTTGAGTAGGAAGTAGAGTGGTGGTTACCGTAGGTTTGAGTGAATAGTGGGAAGGTGAAATGGGAAATTCTGATCAAAAGATATATAATTACAGTAAGATTGGAGGGATTACTTTTTTAAACAAATGTGTTTAGAATAGTCAATACAGAAAGACAGATAAATAATTTTTTTTCAGTACTAGGGATTGAACCCAGGGCCACTTTACCATTAAGGTACATCCCTAGCCCTTTTAATTTTTATTTGAGACAGGATCTCAATAAGTCACCAAGGTTAGCTTCAAACTTATGCTCCTTCTGCCTCAGTATCTTAAGTAACTGGGATTATAGGTGAGCATTACCACACTCAGCCAGATATATAATTTTACAAAGCCAAGGGTGAGAGGGCTGGGTAGATGGAGTGAAAAATGGAGAGTAACTTACAGAGGATACAGAATTTCTTTTCTGTGCTCAACTTTATTGTGGTGATGGTTGTACAATTCTGTGATTAATTGTATGTATACTTTACATAGATGATTTGTATGATACATGTGAATCCTATCCCAATAAAAATATTTTTAAAAATTTAATAGAATATAATTTTTCACTATAATTGCATTAAATTTCCTAGAAGCCTAGCTACCTCACAATTCCACATGTAATGGAACCATGATGGTCAAGATAATAGTTACTGATACCATTTTCTTCCAAGATGAATACAGCCTCATTAAATGGGTGTCTGGTTCCATATGTGACTGATGATAGATAAAAAGTGCTCATATGACATTTCTTTTTTCCAGAAAAAAAATAAAAAGAATTTTAAATAGAGATTTTTCTATAGAGTTTATTAACAGGAAAAGAGAAAACTAGGAGGGCTTCTATGGGCCAAATTACTATAATCTGAATAGAAAAAAGTAAAATTCAATTTGTTTTTAAGGCATAAACTGAGCCCATAATAAATTTTAAAATTTTAAGTATGTATATATTTCTGTCTTAAATAAATAGTATTAATTCTGTGATAGAAAAAATTTAGGTGTAAATTTTTGTGTATTTCAGATTAATATATGCAAACACCTTCATTGTCGTGATTCATTTGCTATAAATAAGCAGCCTAATTTTTTTCAGACTCACAATATCCTGTCCATTAACGCATTGCTAGAGTCAAGGATAAACACATTGATGTGTTTCATGATAGCTTATTAAGGTACTAAAATGCTGTAAATTATTGAAGAGTTTTATTAAGAATATATTAAAATACAATTGATCTAACAGTTGAACCTTTTAAGAACTCAAGAAATAGGACTATTATTGGCATTCAAAAAGGAAAATCACTTCAATTAGCTTCAAGAATCAAAGCAAATTTTCTCTACTAAGCTTTAAAGTAAAATGCCATATCTAAGTTTTGTGTTTACACTATTAAGCTTCTGATGGCATTACAAGCTCTTTGAGATCAGATAAGTGTTTGATACCTACCAGGAAGTATTGCTTGACTCAGATATCCTCACAAGGAAGATTTTTTTGTTTGTTTGTTTGTTTGTTTTTTGGTACTGGTGGTTGAAGTCAGGGGCACTCAACCACTGAACCATATCCCTGGCTCTATTTTGTATTTTATTTTAGGAACAGGGTCTCACTGAGTTGCTTAATGCCTTGCTTTTGCTGAGGCTGGCTTTGAATTTGCAATACTCCTGCCTCAATTGGGATTATATGCATGTGCCACCTCACTAGGCAAGGAAGATTCTTAACATGCAGTATTTCAGACATAAAGTTAAAATTATTTAAGTACCATTGTCTTTCTAAAATTATGAAAGTACCACTCTTATTATTTTAAAAGCAGAAGACCTACCAGTTCAAGACATCTATTGGTAGATAAAATAATCCTCTTTTTTTCTGAGACAGAAGAGGATCTAACAAGGTGAAATAAAGTTGAATGGCTATATTTGACAAGTGATTGTTTTTGACAGTTTCCTGTTTCTCTTATATTTTACTTTAAGAATCAAAGGTATTTTGATATTGTTTTATTTGTAGCAATGGTGCTGATGAAATGATTTTTCTACTGTAACATTAGAAAGGATACAGTACTCAGCAATATGTTAGATAATAGAGGTTCAATATGAATTTTAAAAATTGGCAAATTTTCAAAATAACAATGAATCTTACCTAAGTTCAAATTCAAAGCTGGAATAGTGTAATAAGAGGTATAGGGTGCCAAATGGTGAAAAAAAAGATATATGTCCTATTTTCAATATCTAAAATCTGGCTAGGAAAGTATACCACCAAATTGAGTTACCAGAAAGTGAGAAACTTAAAAGAAGGATGGAACTTCTTTGCATGGTTGTTAATAAGGGAATGACTCAGTTAGCTAATTGCTTGGGTTAGATAATAATATTATCAAATATTTTTATGATTTATATTATAATATTTATGATAAATATATTTTTCTAATAGTTCATCTTAAAAGTTGAATTTCCATTTTAGTATGCATACTAAGAAGGGCAAAGTACATTCTTGAAATACTGAGAAATTGATTTTACTATTCCATTGTTTTTGATTTGTATATTTGACATGAGATTAAACAAGAACATATTAATGGGAAAGAGTGTTTTTTGAAGGAGAATGTGCTTACTCAAAGTTATAATTTTTATTAATTATAGGGAATTAATTAACCCCAAAACCTTTCTGGATATTAGTTACAATATATCATTATTCTGTATCTAACTTGGCCACTCTGCAAAAAAAAAAAAAAAAAAAAAAGAGGAGATATACCTATATGTTCTTAAAGTCAAATCTAATTATTAAATATCTCTCAAAATAAAATAAATAAAAATTTTGTTATGTTTGTGCAGTTCTGGCATTTGAAGCCAAGGCCTTGTGCATGCTAGACAAATTGTCTTCTACTTAGCTGCACCCCCAGTCCAAAGATGCTTCTGTTTTTAATAAAGAAAAGTGGTTAACTTCAAAATAATGTTGAAATTCAAGACATGAATATTTTCATAGGAGGATTGTGAGAAAATTTCATTTTTTTAATATACCCAATAGTAATGATGCTTCAGGCACCCTTAATGAATTAGATGAGGTAATACAAAACATGAAATTGTTGAATCATATTCACATTCATTAAGATCTCATCCAGTAAGAAGCCTTATTAATAATGTCAAGAATGCAGACAGTAATAATCTCAGATAAAGCATTGAAGTCTGAGACATCAAGGATATTTCTCCAGATCCTTTCACAAGGCACATACTGATTTGGACCAGAATAATAGATCAGGGTTTTTTTGTTTTTGTTTGTTTTTTAGTTTCATGAAATTCTGTACACAGTAGTGAGAATTTAAATTATGAGAAATATAAATTTTACACTCAAAGGCTTTTTAAGTTTTCATGACCTTCTGCAGGCAACTGGTCTTATAGATTTTATATTTATTTGGCATAAAGAATCCTACAAAGTGTCTCTTCCTTGCAGCAAACATCATTAGTCTATTTACCTGAAGGTCTAATTGAAAGGAGCTTTCTTTGTGTGTGGAGAGTGGGGAATATAAAGTGAATGAATGGATCAGAGATCAAGTACTTGAACTCCATACTACTAGATGATATAATAATTTAAAATAACTATTAGCTTGTTTTATATTTAGTGAGAGAATAAATAGACAAGTGAGAAAAACTGATAGTAAGCATATGAAGACAATTGATATTAAACAAAATAAAGCTGAAAGAGAAAGAAGAGCAAGATGGTAGTCAAGTAAGATTCTTCCATGATTTTTTATCCACATACACACTAATTTCAAAAGCTATTCATGCACAAAATTATCTCCACAGAGCTAAGGGAATCAAGCACAAGACTACAGTGTTTGGTTTTAGCATAATGATAAGAAAATATGCATTGCAGAAGGCAGAAAGAGGAGTTTTCCAACCCTCCCCCA